TGAAATGCATCGCCCTCCCCTCCGGTGATAAGTGGCTTGACAGTATGTGTGCTATTTGCGTCAATATTGAGGCTGAAATTTCGTGTTGGCTGAGAAAATTTAGACGGGATGAAGGGGGGGTAGGTATTTCTTGTGGATAGTATGCCGGAGTAAAATTACGTGCATCGCAGCCATGACTAATATTTTGTGTGTTTAAGTTATTTTTGTAAATACTAGTCCATCGATGATCTTGGGTATTTTGTATCCGGTGGTTTTCGGGGATGTGGTAAGTCAGAAGCCCAACTTTAGGAAACAAGCCTAACCCACTTGTTCCTTGTTGTAGAGGTCCCTGGATCACACTTTCGTCTATATTAGCCATAGATAGGAGAGTTGTGTCAGGGTAGGTGTATGCCTGCCTGTAGGGTTTCGACTTAATTTTAGGGTGCCCAGAGAGATAGCGCCTGTTGTGTTTATCGGATGAGGATTTGTTAGGTGTTGGATGAATCGACGGGTTACCTCTCTTTTCATTGACGTTATATTTATGGTAGTATGAAGACTTATTCAGCTTCCCTGGGTTAATGGTAGGATTGTTATTTGGTTTGCTGCTGAGAAACCTATCAGTGACGGGTTTTAGTACAAGTATTTTGGATGGCAGGGTTATGTTACTTCGTTTTGTGTGCACACTAGTCTGAGTGCTACTCGGGGAGGTTATATTTAATGGTACATGCTCGAGCTTAGCCCTTTGCGTAACATTGGTAGTGGTATTAGCAGCGGATGGTGATGATGTGTCTAGCGAGCATAACTCTAAAGATGCATCTAAGTCTATGACCATAGTTGCTTCACTGTTGGGTTGAATAGGAAGAGCTTTATTATTTAAGGGTATTTCGTTTTCATGCGTGTCTGTAGCATTAGGTTTACTTAAATGTAAGGCGATAGAGTCTTATGTAGAACATTCTGCAGTTAGGTATGTATTTGCGACACTTGATACACTTGCACGACTACGTCTTTGACATGGCGTTAGGTCATTAGTAAGTTTAACTTTACTATTAGGTGTAGATTTGGTTAAATCGTATAACAAAGTCCCGATGGCACCAGAAGATATTCCGAAAACGGCTATCATAACGCCTTTCGGACTTTTCGAATTTCTACGTATGTCATTTGGCCTCCGGAATGCAGCATAAACATTCCAACGCTTGATCGATGAAGTATTTCTCGGTCTCGACTTTGTATACGCATACTTAGACGACTGCCACATTACCAGTCTAGATAAGGAAACTCACCTTAGACACTTGGACTTGGCATTTGAAAGGTTACACCTACATGGTATTACCATCAACATTCAAAAGTGTCAAATAGGCGTTGACTCACTCGACTTTCTGGGTCACACAATTGACTGCAAGGGCATTCGCCCACTGGCTACTAAAGTCGAGGCGATACTGAACTTTCCGGAGCCAAAGGCAGTGAAATGTCTTCGCACTTTTGACGGCTTGGTAAGTTATTACCGACGGTTTATTCCTAACTGTACCTCTCTGATTGAGCCATTAACAGACCTCCTGCGAGGGAATAACAAGTCTATCGAACTGGACGCATCTGCTAGACATGCTTTTACTCAGGTAAAAAAGCTATTGCGGATGCCACACTTCTGATGTATCAGGATCCAACGGCACCGTTAAGTATCTCGGTTGATGCATCAGACACTGCAATCGGCGCAGTTCTGCAACAACTAGTTAACAAAGAGTGGCAACCACTCGCCTTTTTCTCGAGGCGCCTTCAATTAGCTGAAACAAAGTACAGCACATTCGGAAGAGAACTTCTAGCTATGCACTGTGCTATACGCCACTTTCGACATTCAGTTGAGGGTCGTGAATTCATAATTTTCACTGACCACAAACCTCTGATGTACTCTCTGAACTCAATCTCAGATAAGTATTCACCCAGGGAATCACGACAACTGGATTACGTTTCACAGTTTACATCGGATATTCGCCATGTATCCGGAGTGAACAACACTGTGGCAGATGCCTTGTCACGCGTTTGTTCCCTCACCCAAATTGACGTCATAGACCTTGTAAAACTGGCTCGTTTTCGAAAAGAAGATACAAAGCTTCATCATGAGTTGTCGAAAAAAACTCTACAATTAGCCGAGAAATTCTTAGGTATAGGAAAAGATACTATTCTCTGCGACATTTCCACTGGTACTCCTCGCTCTATCGTGCCTAAAAGTTATCGCCGTAACGTCTTCAATACGTTGCATGGCTTATCCCACCCAGGTATTCGAACTACCGTCAAGCTCGTAACTAGTCGGTTTTGTTGGCCTGGTATTAATAAAGAAGTAAGAGAATGGACACATACGTGCTTAGCTTGCCAAAAGTGAAAAGTAATGAGACACACCAAAGCCCCCTTGGCACCTTTCTTATCCCTGACGCCCGTTTCGAACACGTCCATATAGATTTGGTTGGCCCCCTTCCAGAATCTCATGGATATACCTATGTGTTAACTTGCATCTATCGCTTCACACGATGGCCTGAAGCAGTACCCCTCAAAGATGTATCTGCTGAAACCGTCGCACGCGTCTTTGTAGACAGATGGATCGCAAACTTTGGATGCCCATCCTCCATAACAGCCGATCGCGGGAGGCAATTCGAAGGCGGCTTATTCTTCGCACAGACCAAAATCATAGGTTGCATGAGTTTTAGAACAACAGCCTACCATCCTCAGGCTAATGGTATGGTAGAGCGTCTACACAGACACTTGAAAGCTGGTTTATCAGCTGCAAGCAAAACCCATTGGACTGAATCCCTTCCGTTAGTTCTCCTAGGGATACGAAACTCCTTTAAAACTGATGCTGGTTGTACTACCGCCGAGCTAGTATATGGCACAACACTACGACTTCCAGGTGAGTTTGTTTCTCCCTCTAGCTTCCTACAAGCGGTAGATCACGCCTCATAAGTCAGCAGACTTACAAACGCAATGCGTTCAGTTAAACCTGCTCCCCTTCGACCACAGTCCATAGACGTTTTTGTTCACCCATGTTTGAAAACTTCTTCACATGTATTTGTTCGTCGTGACTCTGTGCGTTGCCCTCTGGAACCCCCATACGACGGACCATATAAAGTTATTGAACGTGTGGACAAATTTTCTGTCCTAGACAAAAGGGCCGCGAAGACTCTGTTAGCATCGACCGTCTGAAACCAGCCTACTTGGAAGGCAATCCTATCAGCCTAGAACTTAGCATTCACGATAATCCACAAGTAACCGAGTATCTTTTAGTCCTCAAAGAAATCACTAGCACGGCGAAAGCCACCGAACCTTCTATCGAGTCCTCAAAGAAAACGCGTTCTGGACGTAACGTAAGATTCCCAGAATATCTTCACACCTATATCACATAAGTAAGTGGTGCGATTCACCCAACTCTTCGTTTGTGGTATTAAATATTTTTTCTTTTTCAGGCACATCGATTTTTTATATAACATCACCAAACACACGGAAAAAATTTTTTATATAACCGTACATGTTACATGCACTAAAAAATTCGTTATATACATTTTTGTATGTTCTATTTTTCTAATTATTTTACTGTATGGTAGAAGTATACCATTTTTCAAACGTTATTTTTGGTACATCTTCCTCAACAATGTTCTTAGCATTATGTTTTCAAGGAAGCGATGTACAGACACCCTATTAGCATAGGTAGACGACCAGTAGGCACTCCACCAAGCCGCCCAGAAGAGATTTTTAACCGATGAGGAACCGTCAAGCTATTTTTACTTCCGGCTGGTTCTGTCTTAGGGTCCTCACAAACCCACTAGGAAGGGAGTGAGCTGTAGCAGTAAATAATTCCCCAAAATTATTGACCACAGCAATCATCACTGAACATCGGATGCCGACCCTCACTGTTTAAGTCGACTTGTTTAGCTGAAGGCTTCCGGTCAAGCATCGTCGCCATTTGGTACTCCGTCGTGTCATGTGCGTGCACGATCACTAGCCAGCTAAGCATTCACTTCAGCCCGCGATTTGGTCCCGAAATATATATTGAACTTTGGACGACTAAATCTGATCTTTTGCTTTGCCTTTGGTCTACGCAGAACGAATACTATAGAAGTTGTTGGTATTAGATCTTGCGTTAGTATACTCCGTACAATCCGCGAACGTCGATACCGTCAGCCTCTAAAAACCTCTTTAGTTACTTGAATAATTCGCCTCCTACGCAGAAGTTTACTGAAGATCAGGAACCTATACCTCACAATCAAGAGGTGAGCACAAAGAAATCAGATTGGTTTATACTAGCTCGTAAAAACGATATTGGATATTGGATACTAGAACTCTTAAGAGGTGATTGGGCAACCTAATTTCACCATCGTTTAAGAAGATATATCTAATGAATGTAGTAAATCATTTTGAAGTCCTTAACATTATTACTTATTTCTGTGAGAGTAGTCTGCAGACTTAAAAAATACTTAAAGGAGAATTAGGTGTGTTGCCGGACCGATTATAAACTATATCATTATTAATAGCGAAAGATTATTCTCTGAAAACAAAGTCGCTTCACGCGCAAAGTCGGTTTGGGAGTGATGTAAGCAACAGCGAGTTGCCACGTAGCTTTTAAAGAGATATGCCACCATGGAGGCTTAGTGACAACATCAACTGAAACCCAAAAAACGATAGATTAACAATCAGTTAGTCGGTCAAAGCATCCACCCTTTTAGATTCCAGTGTGTTATTCATGAAAGACATTGCTAACATATACGATAGCCATCTGAACAGTCTACAACACCGGAAAATGTCAACAGACTTAATTAATCTGAGAGAATTATTGTAGAATACCCTATACCATCACCCTCAGTGCACTACATTAACAACAAACAGCTAGCTAGACCAAGCACATACAAATTCTTTCTTACCGTGAGCTATAAACCCCAGCTATAAGGACTAACTTACAGAACATACGTTGGATATTGGCGATAACAATACAATTTCTTTTACTATTCTGATTGCGCACATTCAAAATAAACGGTCCTGACATGTGTTACCGCGCCCCTTTGTTTTATACTTTTTGTTTCTGTTTATTTCTTATTAAGTCAGCTCTTACTGGGCAAAGAGATGATGACAGAATTGATTTTCTACCGGGAGTATGGCCAATGCCATCCTTTAGACAGTACTCGGGTTATCTGCATGGTTCGACTAGCAATATCAGATTGCATTACTGGTTGATTGAAGCAAAAGTTAACCCCAAAGGATCTCCACTTTTGCTGTGGCTGAATGGTGGACCTGGATGCTCGTCCATGGAGGGACTTTTTAGTGAAAACGGACCTTACAATGTGAGTTACAAAGCTATATGGCTGGAAAGAATATATGCATCTCTGTAATTTAACAATCTAAAAAACTTTTTCACCTTAGGAATGGCATGATTTTTGTTAGGTTTTGTGACATACTTCTAGTTCATATTCAAGGCCTAGGGATTTAGATGATCTTGAAGTGAATTAATGTGGCACTATTTTCCGATTTACTCATTCGACTTTCAACTGTATGTTCGCAGATCCTCCACCTATGGAGTTTTGAGCAACCCTTAATCAAAAAAGACGTCGACAATCACCTGATTCGTTAATATGCACGTAACTAATTTCTGTTAGGTTTATTTCCAAATTAAAGTTATTACTTTATACCACAGCGCACTGTGATATACTTGATACTCAGTAGTCTTATCACCTATTATTACAAATAAAGATGGGTCTTTGTTGTCGCTTTCCAAGGTGAAGGTCACTTCTAGTTCCCTGGTGAACTCTCACTATTCACCTGACAAACTTAATCATGTACTAATTTAATACTCGATGTTGCACACTCATTCAACCAAATGAACCCAGAGTGGGTTTCGTGTTTATACACACTGGTTATGTTACAGCACAATACAGTAAAATACTGACTGACTGTCACTTGGCCTAATAGAAAGATTACATAAATCATCTGTAGATTTTCGTTGTCACATTTAAAACTAGATTCCTACATCGGTATTACGATGATAACCTTCTGAAATCAGTTTTGTTTGTCACCGTGCATACATCAGTAATTATTTTACATTCTCCTAATGAATCCCACCGGCTTAACATCAGTTAATAGGGTGGAAGGGTTTTAGGAGTAAAATGCCTCGGAATTGCAAGGTATTTATCACCTGCAGTTAGTATAACTATTAAATATGAAATAAAACACACTTTAGTATCGATTCTTCGTATCAACATTGGGAATGTTTTCTGAGATCTTTCTTTCTTTCCATGACCTTATTCCGGTATATAATAAATACAGGTAGTAATTTTAGATGAAGTAATCTTTCCCACTCACTTAATGAGCATCTGCTTTTTTGAAATAGGTATTGGAAGGAATAAAGGTGGCGCAGAATATCTATTCATGGAACAACGTAAGTAACCGTTCTATTGTTTACATAATAGAGATTAACTAACTGGTGTCCAACCAGTGAGGTTGACTTCTTTGATCTTCTGACATCAGTTTTTCCACACTTGAAATTTGCGATTCTTTTGCTAAATTGAGTAAAAACGTTTTGTACACCTTATAATGGCAAAGTAATTCATCATAGTATTTACATCTGCTAAACTTCTGGGCGAAAGGGCGGTGTATACTTTGTGGGGAATTTAGGCTTAAATGTAGGGCTGAATGGTTTGAGTGGATCCTGATCCATTATCTGGCGATATATTATAGATTGAAATTGTCCTAATGTGTTTGGGGGAAATAAATTTATGTGATTAGCAAAATGTCATTAAAATTCCGTAAATATAATATAACTTCTTGGTTCACCAGACAGTGAAGGTTTTTTTGTATGTTAGTTTATTTTCTCATGTGGAGCTGAGGATATCGGCTGTACTATGCGTTCCCTTGTATAAAACTTGTGAACACTAACCAGACTGCCTGCTAAAGAAGGAATAAGGGTGAATCTCAAGTTTTATAGCAGGATATCTTTAGAAGACAGGACACTCAACTGCATTTGAGAAATCCCTCAACATCTTACACAAGATTCACTCAAACTTGTCTAACAGAGTGAAATCAAAACTTCTGTGCGTATTTGAAGAGTGAGTGATCCGAAAAGTTGCTCCAACACTGTGTGTATTTAAGATAATTGTTTAACCTTCGTCTCTTCTATGATCATCATGGTCATTTTATGAAAATTTGGCATTCCATGTGGATTGTTTTCTAGCCTTTACCCTCACCGTCAAGGGAAATTTTCAAGTCACACAACTAGGTTCCTGCTTCTAAATGTTGGTCTATTATAGTGATACAGTATATTCATATAATTTCACTTTGTCATTTAAGAAGTAGAATAAAAAGCCATGGACGCATACTTTCTTCTTTTGAAAGCAATGTTTCTATAACAAACTGACATTATGGGATACTGGAAGGTTACTCTTCACCATTAATAACTATAAAATTAGCCCAATTTAAAGGAGGACTACAGGCTGTTCTGAAATGAGGGAGAGTTGATATCTTCTGCATTAAGATGAATTTGAAACTCTAAAATGATATTCTTGAGCTTTCCCATGTTATTCAGATTTATTGTCAGAAACGCGATTACACACTGCAGCATGCAAAAATTTTAGGTTTTATCTAACTACTGTGTTTGTTGAGAGTGGTCACTACCATTGCTATAATAGTAAGATTATTGGTTCGTCTAGTAGTGCCTATCACTTGAAAGTGAAATGCTCGTCATCCCATAGGTGCATTAACATTTTATTCAATAATGAAAATGAGTATACAAAGAATTGTGTGTGATTGAGGGGAAGTACTGTTCATTATTGGAATCTAAACTTGGAACTTTTATCAATCAAACTACTTTCGATTTCTTTCCGAAAGAGTCAGTTCTTGAATAAAACTTAAAATTCAACTATAATTCGTTGGTCAGTAGTGTAAGATTTCTGTCCAACTTTTATTGCTAAAAGAGGACTTTATACTGACCAATACAGGATTACTTCTGATAGATGGTAGTAAGATTAGGGGATACTTGATGAGTGGTGATATTGATTTTATTGTAGTTCAAATAATTCTTGAATAGTTTAAAACACAAATGATGACTTTCACTGTGCAACAGTCAGTATTACGATATAAAAATTGATTAAAAATTTCATCTTTCATCCTGAAATAAACTTTGTTTAAACAATGAGCGCCTAAGGTGTTTTACAACGCTCACATATAAACGATAAATTTATTCAGTGTGAAAACTGACGAACAGATCTGAAGAATTATGTAACCATGACTACGAATTACACATATTAGGAAAAGATTTAGGTTCAAGTAGTCCTACCAAAGTTTTTCCTCCTGAAAAGCAAAGATTGACATGTCTGTTCCTTTATTGGAAAATAAATGCACTGAAAATTGGATGCATTCTTTAGGTCTACTCCTTCAATGTAGCCTGATGTTTGTCAAAAACTGTCAGCTAGTGAGTAAAAGCACTGTGAATGGAAGACACACGTGAAAAGAAAGTGACTGTCTTACGCAATGAACTATCGTATCAAGTCACGAAAGGGTAGATATGTGTAAAAATTCCATTTACTAGAATACGCATTTGTAGTACTTGAAGTGTATACGCCTTAAAATTATTTCTATTGGCTGACACTATGAACAACTAGTAGCAGGATCATATCAAAACCCATGCAAGCATTTCCTTCATTAGAACAGTTTTTTTAAACTGTTCTGTTTTATTCATTCTTGATTGTAAAGCTTGTTATATCGCTTATATCTCTAACAAATACGTGTATTTTCTTCTTCAGTTTGCTAATGTTCTATATTTGGAAGCTCCAGCTGGTGTGGGATTCTCATATGCCGTGGATAACAATATAACTACAGATGATGACTTTGTAAGTCTTAGCATTCGTTCTGTCGGGAAAAGAAATACTTTACAGATTTGTTTATGTCAAATTCGTTCTATTACAAGTGTTCATGCTGATATATATATATATATATATATATAAGTACTTGTTAAAAAGCAAGCCATTCGCCTTATAAACTTTCCGCATTCATCAGTGTAAGTGTACTTAGCATATCTTAAGGTAACCAATGGAAAGCTGGGAATTAGTTATCAACAATCAATCACCAAAATGTCTGTTTTTCTACAATTTTTGATAAATAGGGTACGTTGTACACGAGTACATAACTGTAATTCTTTAAAATGAAAAGTAAACTTATGTAAGACATTTCTGTATGACTCCCGGGGAAATTGAAATAAATCATTCCAACAAAACGTTGGAATTTCCCGGAAGAATTCCGGGCCAATCGGCTGAATATAACGTTGGAATTATTTAATTCAACTCCTCCTAGATTTACACAAATATAATTTGCACATTTATGGTTACATTATTTTGTGAAATATTATTCAGATAAATTGATCAAAGACTTACTCCGATGTTCATGTGATCGAAAACAATATAGATATTTTTACCGACAGCTGAGGCGTTTGCTTTTGGTTCCGTTATGTATGACTTTGAAGAAAAAACACTCCGATGGTGTAAAAAGGCGAAGACATTGACTAGATGGTAGCTGTTCGTGGGACTCTGTACCCTATTCTTTCAAGTTTTGGGGAGCAAGACGAGTAGAATAATCAGAACAGATAAGACAGATGTACTTACATTTTTGGTATTAAATCCCCAGAAGTAACATCTCATGCGTTTACTCCCCACCTCCAATAGTTCTTGTCTACATTTTGAAGTTGATTTTGTCATCTATTTTAGTAATTTGTGTTTAGTCTTTTACGCATATTTATGTTAGCAAGTTCAAATTTACAATTGTCGGTATCTGACACTAAATAACATCATTTCGTTATCACGGTAACTTCTTTTATATAATTTTGTAGTTTTCATTGTTTTGTTATATAATTTCAGACAGCACTGAACAATTATCATGCATTGTTGAATTTCCTCAAAATATTCCCGGAGTATATGCACAGAGACTTTTTCTTAACCGGTGAAAGTTATGCTGGTGTATACCTTCCGACTTTAGCACTACACATCATTAAATCATCAAAATTCAAATTGAAAGTGAGTAACCATTTTGACATCATCTATCAATCCCAGGGATGATTTCGCAAACTAGATGAAGTATTTCTTTTGTTTTATCATCCATTATTGTATCATATAATCTACAAATTACTGTGTTCAAAATATTTAATTACGATTCTAAAAACAATATTTTATTTTTGGTAAAAATGTTCTCCAATTTGGATAGAAGTTTTGCTTTAGATATCTAGAAAACACGTTGAAATTGAAGTGAACCATAGCTGTAGTCGCTTCTTCCTCAATTTGTCTGTTTTAAGACTGATTACAAACTGATTTCAATCAGAGAACCATTGAAACTGGGATTTACTGAATAGCTCTTTTGTCCTTGCATGCTACACTTCATCGGTACGCACCCGTGAACACACCACCTTCAGATTGCCACCATATGCTTTGTCTCCACAAAGTGTGCCTGTATGAAACGTTTGGTTGACCATGTGTTTCCATTTTCTAACCACGATGAAGAGTGCTTAAGTAGATGATGGTGGATTTACCGAATCGTTCTACCCATGTAATTGTCTCTACAAGAACATTGAAATGTATAAGTGCAAATTGAAATAGTCATGTTTTAGTCTTAGTTTCATTCTATCCTATAAAATGAGACATTCTGTTATCTAGCCGGTCTCAGATAAGAGTTACTTCTCTCCTCTATCCCTAGAGATATGCATTTTCTACTACATATTTACAATGACTGATTTTCTAGATGATATAAACACTTGAGTGAATTTATCCTTGTTATTATTAATACCATCATTTTGATAATCATCCACCAATTTATATACCTCAACTTTGATTCCGTTAACCACATTCTTATCGAAAATCTATGATTGATAAATTTCCTTTATAAGTGTGAAGCCTGACGAGGAATTACCGAAATTATGTGTTTGCCTATGTTATATTATCTAATTATCATAATGGAAATGTTCATAATTATTTCAGTAGAATGATACATTATGCCCTATGGTTCGTAAATACCATATCGTTACTTTCGGGTTAGGCATGAACTGATGAAGAATTAATTGAGTGGAAATAATGTTATACTTAATTTTCATAGTTTTCTCTACGTTACTTTCCTTTCACAATTAACTGTTCAGTCAATCTTAGGTGATAGTGATAAACAATCTACTGGTGAACTAAATATCTCAATAAGTTTGCCTTAAGAGTATCTGTGACACTTTAAGTGTTTAATGTCATAATAAACCAGATAGAACATTGTATATAGTGTAATGACTGAAGGTGAAATAAAAGTCTGAATCATGTTAGGATGCGAATCAGTGCTTTCCAAATTACTTGTCTGGTGCTCTACCAGTTAGTACGAGTTGAAATATAACTCCTGACTAAGTTGTCATTTCACTACAATCACCGTAGATAATGCTCAGCTGTCGTGGTGATTGCAATGAAGTGAAATAATGACACGGTTAGCAGTTGGGTTTCGTGAATCAGCTAGCTGAATTCTGAACTAGTAATTCAGGTTTCGCTTCTTCAAATCCTGAAGTGAACTAAACTCGCATTGCACGTTCAACCATATTATCTATCACATAATTAATAGTCTGCCAAACCAAAACCATTTCAGTTAGTTACATTCTCGACTGTATGTTTATGCATTCATTTTAATTTCTAAAATACCTTTAATTCTATTTTCTTGTTGCATTTACTTTAGGGTATCGCTGTTGGTAATCCACTAACGAGTTACAAGCTTAATGATAATTCAATGTTATATTTTGCTAAGTATCATGGATTGATAGGTGAAAAGTATGTTTGTCTTCTCCATAAATAATCATCGCTTTAATATGAGTTAAATGCTTTTTCTCATTGCATTTAGATTTTTATTTGTTTACCTTGTATTTTGTTGTTGAAGATGAGGCGCTGATTTTATGGGATACTCATTTTTATTCTGTATTAGGTAACTCTCTTAGTCTTACCACATTTGATAATCTATCTGCTATCGTGGAATGATGTACGCTGAGATAAAGACTACTTTCAAAGTAATTATCAGATAAATTCCTAGCATGATTTCACAGAGGCGAATGTGATGGCCCTTTGAGATTCTGGTATTAGTCATTTAATAAATAAGTCGTCTTAAACAAAGATGTAAAGATTGTATCCAGGCGCTCATAATCTCTTGTGTCATCTTTACATTCGAATTCTTAATCTTCTTGCTGAGTTCGGTTTTTATTAACAGGTGTTGGCTTCTTTCCTCTCCAACCTGTCTTGTTTATGCCGTTTGGTGTTATTCTGTCTTTAGGTGTTACGACTATTTACAGGATATATTTTGTTAACCTTGCTGCTACAATCTTAATTAATGACATTTGTTATCTGTCAACTCGTGCATTTTATATTGCATTGTGGGATTCGTTGAACTAGTCATTCATTGAAGCAAGTCATTGAACTGAGAAACTTATTTCTTCTAAGGAGATTAAGCATTTCCTGACATAGTATAACTACTCATAACTGAAAGTAAATTCATAGAATAAGAAGAGATTCCCTCACCAAAATGTCTTGGCGTTAACCTAACATGGTGGTCTGCTTGAATCACTGAACTACCTGAATTTTCACTGAGCACAATGCATCACATTTTCTGTAACTCTTACAGTCAACTATAACCTTGAGTAGTCTTGACTTTCAAACTACCGATGTGCATTTCGCGAAGACGAAGGAAAAAATATCATAAGGGATTAGTCTGTGTTTCATGTCTAACAGCACTGCGTCATGTGATGTACTGTAGACTGCTATTTTACTTGGGGATACTGGATGAAGAGAAAATATCATGCAATAAATTACACTGAGAATTCTGAACACTGTGTAAACATTTTGTGCAGAACAAGGCTTTCATTTATTTATTTTGACACTAATCAAAATTATCCCAGATCAATGGGATTATTTATTGCCATAGTTCATTCTTGATTCGTATCAAAAACCACAAAAGAAATCTGTTTAGAGCTTAAGCTGATAAATACAAAATGTTCTATGCATCTCTCAGTATACCATAAATGATTCCACAAGTTCACTAAATTACACTGAAAGTCAAGGACTGATTCCCAAGAATTCTTCGATACCTTTCAATAGCAACCTATATTTGATTCACCTACTGAAAGCGCAAAATGATATCAGACTATGAGGTTAAATTCACATAGTGAGAAATGTGAATGATTAGTGTGCGTCCCTGCTAAGACTGCAGCTAATTTACATTATGCATCTCACGATAACAATTTAATATAATATCGTGCAATTTTCGCTTGATTTTCTTCCTTATTATCAAATGTTCAACGAAATTCGAAATCACATGTAATTGTTCTAACTTTCCATCATTATTCCAATAACACTTTCCCTCTATCTGTCTAGTGGATATGCCTTACAATATTTACAAGTGGTTTGTTACCTGTAACACGTTTTTGGCCGAAATTATGAGATATAATGTTGCTCAATTCAAATACACTAGAATGAATACGTCCAAATTGTCGTTGGTTCATAGTACTATCTGTTTAACTAGCCTAACAATATACTGTGTATCCTCAGCCATTTAACTTTGAATTTATAAATGATGAGGAATGAAAAAAGAACTAGAATTTTGTATTGTGAAGAGTTGAAACCATTTAGACCAGCAGAACACCGTAGGTTTAAAAGAAATAGAAACTAGAAGTAGAAAAAAGAGAAGATAGATTAAAACTAAGCCCAATTTGAGTAAACTTTTAACAACAGAAGACAAGGGTCAGGCTACAGATCGTTTATTAAGGAAAATCAACACATATTTATAGATTTTAATGTACATTATTGTAGATTATTGTTAGTAGAAAATACCGTCTTTTGATTGGTTGTTTCTCACAGAAAGTTAACCTTGACTCTCTTTGTGGCTGTGTCAGATCATCCATATGCTAACTGTACCCGCCTACGCAAAGCCTTTGCTCTCATTTTCTCACCACCAATATTGGGGACATAAACATTGATGTCAATCACTGTCTACCTACTTTGGCTAGCAGCCAGCTCTCACCACAAATTAACACCTGAGTAAATTGATATGATTATTTTTCCTGTCAGAGACTGCTTCTATTGCATCGATTGTTGTATGGTGGATTGCTTTTCAGGCAGTCAGTTGGTCAAGGTTCGATTCTTAGCTAACGTAGTCGTAAACCTCGCCTAGTTCATCAGCCTGTAGTTAGATTGGAAAAGAGAGAGGATTGGGTGTAGGGTTAGTGATCCTACTCCGTTTAAAAAACACCAGTCTGAAGCTTCAAAACCTGAAGACCTTTGTTCCATTTGAAAGGCAACAAATGGAAACCAGTTTTTAAGAGAATCAAAAGCCCGACATCTGTCGAACACATATGTGTAACTTACTTTCAAATGTGTGACGGACCAAACCAGCATAAGGGTATTCGGTTGTATTCTGCTTAGCTGTATTTTCGAATCATGATCCATTATACGTTCCGCATAATGTGCCAGATATTTGGCAAATCTTATTACAGTGGAAATAATAAATCAGCCGTGATTTCAAAGTGTCTTTATTTAACATAACGAAGATATTATTTCTTCATTATCTAGAGTATGGAATGATTTGCTCTCACATTGTTGTCACAGTAAATATTATACTCGTTGTATGTTCACTGATAATCATTCGGACAAGTGCCAACGTTTAGTAAGTCATACCATTTTTGAATTACTCCATTACTGTCTTTTGTTCGTCTGTTTTTAATTGATTATGTGCACACATACAGATATATGCACATATCGACTTCGGGACGCGCAACTCATAGCTTATCATTGGGGTTCCACCTGAGGACCTGGCGTGTGATGTCACTCAGTGGTTTTCTCAGAGTATCAATAATTTGTCTCCATGATGTTCTGCACATCTGTCAGACAAAAGGTTCTTAGTTGGTTCGCTGACAGAGTTCCATTCCATCTGCTGTCATAGATTCATAACACTTCTATGCAATATCTTTTCACCTGTTTTTCAATCTAAGCTGTCGTGCTACCCTCAAACATTGTGCGGATACCCCATGTCCCTGCGTTTACTTTTACTTTCATCGAAAGAAGACACATCAGCCAACTAGATTTTCGAAGTTACTCGCCAGCCAATGTCATTCATCCTCGCAGATTCCAGGGAATGAAAAATTTATTTTTTGTACTTCTTTTGTGTTGTGAAGTTTTCGTGGAGATTGGCTTTATTTTCCAGGTTAGAGTCTCTAGACTCAATCGCAATAATCTATCTTTTTCCTGCAAGGGGGAAACTAATGAAGGCTATATACATTTACCCATATATATGGTATTCTTCCTTGTTTTTCTTTCCTTTGGGAGTTGATACATTGATTTTGTTTTCAGAAATCTTTCCATGCATGTTTTCCGATGTTTATATTAGCTTTCTCTTGGGTTCCATGTTGAACATAGAGCTTCAGCAGTGTATCACCATTTCACTCTGTTCTACGGAGTCTCTCTTACGCGGCTCCACGTTTGCCCATAAGCTTTCATTTCTTCTTCACACAATCTTCTCCATTTCCCCCTTGGATACCCAACTCGTCACTCGTTTCCGATTCAGCTTCCAGGTGAAGGCGACACGTCGCATGATGTAACTCGAAAGTTTCCTCAGTGTATGTCCGACCCATCTCTAAATCGTTCCACACATTTGTTGTACGATTGGTCCTCGGTTGATTTGTTGTCAGAGTTCCGTTTAGCCTCTCATTTCTGGTCATTCGGCCTTCAATATAAAGTGAAGGAGGCTGTTAATGAAAGTCTGCAGTGACCTGCTGGAAATACTTTTGGTGACGCACGTGATAAATCTCTAACTTCACATTAGTATTAAAAATTCTGATGTTGTTCATCACGCTGAGTGCAGTAGATTTCAATGCTAATTGCAGAGTAATGATAGCCTGTTTTCCTTTGCTGATCCTGGATGCTTTCGATGTCTTGATCTATGGCGCCTGTAGTTGAAATGATGCTGCCTAGACAATTTTGCTCATCATAATTCTATTTTTGTATCCTTTCTTATGTTATTTTGTTTCAGGTTACTCCAAAGTTCTACCTTCACTTGCCTGCTAATCATTCCCAATATAATTAATAAAACCTCAATTATTTGATTTTAAGGATCTAGATCATTGGCTTAGGCATTCAACTCTGAGTCGATAGGTCCAGGGCTCGAGTCCTACTCATCCTAGGCAACTGGGTAGTTCCACTAGTCCTCACTAGATAAGTACAACCCACAGCGTGGTACATAAGAAGTTTGACCCAGGTAACTAATTAGTTGTACACTTTCTCGATTACGTGGTATGATTCATTAATTTCCGTACATCGCTATTTCTCATACACTTTGACCCTTTTTATTACTATCTGACAATAACATATAAGTATAAAACCTGGGCACTGTGGTAGAGCATAACTCCATTATGGATAAGATTTTATTTTTGATAAATCACACAGTGTTGTACGGTAATATTAATTGATGACGTTTCGAGCACAAACTATTGCTCATAATCATACCAATATGAGCAATAGTTTGTGCTCGAAACGTCATCAGTTAATTTGTATATATTGTATATATTAACCCCCAGCCAACTGTACAGTGTTGAAGTGATCTCTTTGTTGACCTATGTGTTCTTAATTATGTCACATGGAAATCATTCACACCTTGAAGAAATCTCCTAAATTTTCTAACTGAATTTTTAATAAAAATAACAATCATCTTCATTAAGTTTTTAATTATGTAATTATTTTTAGATCAGCTATATATCAGATAATGTAACTAGTGGATTAAATGAATATAATATATATGATCGTTGTGGTGGTGTTAACAGTTTGACAAATGAATACCTTATGAATCTATATTCAATGTCTGATAACAGTTCCTATCCTGGTCCACTGGTACATAGTGATTTTGGTAATCACTTTCGAAACAATAAGTATGTTCAAAAGAAACGTGAATTAATGTAAGTTGTTGATATTACTGAGTACAGGGTTAGATTTATTACTGATCCTTCTTCTTCTTCTCCTTCTTCTCATGTAGTACATTTGTACTAATTTTTACATTCTACAAAAGTCAGCAAATGAAAACTTATTTGTAAGATCCTTTTTGTATCACGAAAATGCGGATGCCATAATTATCCTTCATTTAATGACTGAGAAATTCATATTCATGTGCTGTGTAATTTGATATTGTCAAATTTCAACATTGTTTGACATCTAATATGTATGTAAAAGTTGTAAAAATTATAGTTCCAGCGAGCTTTAACTAAAAGAGTAATATATGCATATCGAATACAGAAATAGATCGAACATTTTTGATTGCACACTAGTCAGTAACTAGTGTAATGCGTCTAGTCCTATCTTCGGTGCAGACTGAATTCTATCAGTCATGTTTGCAATGTGGCCACCATGCTAGGTGGCTCGCCATTACGGTGCACTGTGAATTGTTGGTATTAGATGGTTGGAGGCAATCGGCAGGAAGCCTTGGACCTAGGTTTCGTGCTAGTTGGCACTCATCAGCAAGGCGTATCTGCAATACAGTATCCAATACAGTCCTACAGGAGGTCAGTCGCGAGCCTGAATAGCTCAGTGGTAACGTCTCTGACTGCAGCACTGGGTGACGCGGGTTCGAATCTCAGAAGGGACATCAGTTCCTTCAAGGTTGCAGATACGCCTTGCTGATGAGTGCCAACTAGCGCGAAACCTAGGTCCAAGGCTTCCTGCCGATTGCCTCCAACCATCTAATAGATCGAACATGCCACGAAGACAAACCAAATGAATGCTTATAGCGAGGTAGCAGATTTAATATTTTATTCGCAGTTGACTCAGTGAAACAGTTGGTGAAATGCATGAAATATTCATCTTGGTTTCTTCAGTCTTTGAACACTAATGACTTGAAAACATTTCCATATATCTCTTAGTTCATTCATATATCGTCTTTAAATTATTATTTGTATTATGTGATGATGGAGAACTACTTGTGCCAAGATTGTACGAAGTATTACTGCCTAGTAGCTTATCTTTATGTTTAAAGTATCACATTTAGAACTATTTAGGTCAGTAGCACGAAATCTGTTTCCAGGATTACTTATGTATACATTTTTCGAAAGAAAGTTACACTACTGAAATCTGCCATTTATTTTCATATTATAACACCAACTGAACAGTGGCTGCACTTCCTTTCTACAAAATCTACTTAGAATGTCGTTTTAATGATCTTGGAAATCTCTCTGTCTATCGTCTTCGTTACACTGACATGAAATTTACAAAGCAGCAAGGTTATACTCGATTTTCTGCATAAACTGTATCACTGCATCATATTTTGGCATATTTGTCTGATCTACTGAATCCCTTTGTACTATCATAATAAATAATCTGATTTGTTTTCATCACATATTACCATTTGTCTTGAATATGAATATTCAAACTACAAATACTAATCTTCAGTATATATGTGTATATATATGCAGTTTTCTAATCAAAATGGTTTATATGAATAAACTGTTGTACTGCTTATCTGTATGACATTCGATTCATAATTTGTATGAAGTGTTCATCATATGAAATTATTTATACAAAATAGTTTAAACTAAGTTTTAGATTGTTTACATGTTTTGATGTATAGAATCAAATGTTTTAGTTTTGGAAAATAAAACGGTCTAGGTAAATTAGTATACAACCTTTTTGTGTATTATAATGCTTAGTTTCCATTGACTTGTTCATCAATTAATGTCGTGTCAGCTGACTAGTCATCAAACAATTAGAGATTGCAAAACAGCTATTTTTAATTTTATTCGCGACTCTCTCTAGTGATGTGTAGAAATAAATCTAGTGCTGATTAGTGAATAGCTTTGAGCAGGTTTCCAAAAGTTTTGGAGGCCATACGCGGGAATAACTACTCACCATTGTGATGTGGTTATAGTTGTAGTGTAATAGGAATGGAAAGAATTTGGAAAATACAACAGATAGACTTTTGAAATAGTGGCTGAATGGTAACGCGATCATCAGAAGGTGTTTAAACATGTTTGTAATATATGCATCTGCTGTACTACAAAATCCCTAAATGGAATGGAATGTCTCCGAAGTGCTGTCTGCTTTTTGACTCTCCAAACGATATTAAACTACTGTTGAAAACCTCCTTGAAGTCAAAAATAGTTCTTGTAAGTACCCCTCAATAAAATATTGAATTAATTGCACCAGTCAATTGGACATTCTTATGCGTGTAGCCTGAAGTGAAATCTAAAGTGTGGCAATTTCTACATAGAGTTAAAAATGCTAAGACTATTGAATTAAAATCATGGTGTTCAGTTTATTAAGAAACCATTCTGTAGAAACACTGATAACTATTAATTACAGGGCCAAACGAGATAGTGAACTATCAAGACATTTTAAAACTAGAAAAAACTAAGTGGTTATTCTTATGTGTGTGGCATTTTATCAGTCAAAACATACATCTTGCAATGAATACAGTAAATTGTAGCATTAGAACTGCATACACTTCACTGAATAACTATCGAAAGTGTTGGTTAAAAGATGAGAAATTGACAACGGTAGTCGTTTAACACATGAAGGGAATACTAGGACAAATAACTAAACAGTAACCTTATAACCATCATCAGTCCGACCATTTATATATGGATTATGAATAATAAAAGTAAAAAGAGTATAATGTAGGATAAGCTCGGCTAGTTTAGAAATACTGTTTGAACATCTAAAGTGGAAAGCGTTGTATTCTTACAATGATGAAGGAAAATGTCTGCCAAATAATACTCTTTGGAGAAGATGAGTGAGTACAAATTTCATTGAAGTGAACTTTGTATATTCTTAAGTGTTCTAAGTTCTTTTGAACACCACAGCTATCTTGAGAGGTAATGTATTTATTTGTAAGCTAAGAATAAATTTTAGCTAATATGGGACTAGATTGGAAAGGAATTGTTGGTGGTCAGATCAAATCCTGATATCAATCCATGTTTGGAGCCATCTAGGAAGGTGTGGACTTCCAGGCTAGGGCCTAATGGCTACAGATTGTGGATGAAACCATTATCTTCAATGACAGAGATGAATTCACTTTCTGTTGTCTGCAATATTCAATAAAACCCTCTTGTTTTTCTCCTATGTTACTATCCTTTCTCCCGTACGTTTCTGCTCATTATAGTTTTCAAGTGTTGGTTTGTAGGGATTTGATTGGTTACAGGATTTTCATCATGAGCAGACATCAGTTAGAGAACTATTGGAAAACCTGGGAGTACTGGACAGCTGTTTCGTCCTAGTTTGGGACTCTTCATCAGTACGCACTCACCGTGATTAGAACCCAGGACCTCCTGGTTACAAGGCGAGCTCGTATACCATTAAGCCACTGTGACCCGATCCAATGGCCCATGAATTGTAACTTCTGCCAATTCACGACATAGCGCGACCCCTAGTCAATGTCTTCGGCGAGTGTTTGTCCTCACACCCGACCTGCTGCACCCTACTGGTCACGACTTCTTGGATTTATTTTCTCTACCTTTGAGTGCTCCATAGAGTGTAGCAACTTGAACTGCTGTATTGCCTGCAAGGTTCTGTGCTCAAACTCAGTCACCCAGTCAGTCGTGACAAACAATTTTAACCGGACATTAATTTGAAAATAATATTTTCTCCTTACGTTTTCTTGCTAAAGTGTGATGTTTTCTGTTGTTGTTTGTGTACTATTTAACTGAAACTTCTCAACTAGTAATCCTAATAATCTTATTTTTATGTTTGAACAGTTCTCAGATTCGAGAGAAGATAGGTGCAAAGCTGGTCCTTCCTTGTAATGATGACGACTTAATCGCAAGGTATTTAGATATGCCATTAGTACGGAAGGCTCTTCATTTGAGAACAGATATACCAAAAAACTGGGAAGTATGCAGTGATGCCGTTTATGCTGTCTATAAACGGAATTACGTGGATTTAAGTCAGCAATATAAGAAGATCATTGAATCCAAAGTGAGTTAGTTTTACTCATTCATTTATTTTGACTTTAAATTCTCATCTTATTGTTTGAGAAAATACTAATCTCTGTTCAGTATCCAGGGTAAACAATTTTCTAAGTTATCCTTAGAATACCACATCAGCTAATGTGTTAATTTATGTCATGCAAGCAACCAGTATATTTGATCACACAGCATATTTCATGCGAGTACCTTAATATTGCTCATTTCCACCTAGTACAACAATAAATCTAGTATACAGCACAAAGTGCTAACACGTCGCATACTTCAAACGGTTTATAAGTCAGTGTTGCATGATTTCATGCGTAAAACGGATGCACTGTGCACTATATTCGTCACAAAACATATATCCTGATGTGTTCGTTTGCGCTGTTGATGCAAACTCCTTCTGCTCTACGCTTGTGTAGTGTAAGATTTTCAGGGTAGATGAAGAGGGTGAAATGACTTTCAACAAACTTCTAAAATTGCACTGACAGCATTCATGCATACGATATGACCGTATCTGAACTTGAAATTCATTGGTCTGCAAAACCATTTTGTTGCCTTGGTATTATTTTATATCCCTTTCTGAAGTGTATTCAATTATTTAGTGAGTACAAAAGATTATATCACTTATAATGCCCCAACCGGTAGCCATTAACGTGACATGGTGGTCGGTTTTCCATATCACAATAACCCGACGATCCATATTACCTGTAAAAATGTTGATGCATGTCGAACTATGTCACATACGTCGTTTGGACAGCAGTTGAACTAAAAGCAGTCACTATCACAGTGTAAGTTACGAACATTATGGTAGGAGTCTGAGGGTGAATTCGTATTGCAGGAGAAAAGGGATGTAACATCACTGAATTGTTTCGCTTGGACAACCAATAAGTCAGCTTTGCTATCTCTGCGCTCTTGGTAGGAGGAATAGGACCGGACAACCTTGAAAATAAGAACAAATTAGTTCAGCGAAGAGTCTCTTTTCGGCGAATTCATTCACTTAGCTGTACAGTCGCAAATATATATACAATTATTTTGTGTGTGTGTGTACATTAGGTTTGTCAAAATCAAAATAACAGTTAGTGTGGGTTGTTGATTATATCATCAAAATAATGAAGAAGTTAAAATGTGCGATTAATAATCAAAGTTGTAACTAAGTGGGGTGAAGTTTAGTAAGATGTGAGTAGAGTTACATCATCAAAATAATGAAGAAGTTAAAATGTGTGATTAATAATCAAAGTTGTAACTAAGTACGGTGAAGATTGGTAAGATGTGAGTAGGGTTACGTAATATAGACATGTTTAGAAAGATTAGATGCTAGTGAAGGAGTTTGGAGACAATTATGAAAATAAACTAGATAATGGGTGAAAAGATTAAATGGGTTAGTTACTAAAAATTGTTATACGAAAATTGCAAAAAATTTGATAACAAAATGTTGATGACAAATAAACTTGGAATTAAACCCACGGTAGTAGGAGGGGGTGGAGAAGTTTCTTCTGTGTGCATAACTCAGGCTTTTCCATCCAAATCGCTAAGGCTTCAGCAATACAAAGTATACGGAAGCTTGTCGATTTTGGAAGGCTTCTTTTGACTTTATAGATGACTTTGAACGACTTCTCCTTGCAAATCGAATGACCAGTGTTGAGTATATGCTCAATAATGGCGCTCCTTATTGCTCCGTTGTTACCTTTCCGTAGCCAGGCGGGATAGTGTTCTTGAACTCTTTTAGATAAAACACGCATCGAACGACCTATATACCACGCTCCTGACTAACCACGAGGAGGTCCGTAATCGGTGTTAAGAACTTAACACGAGCACAATTACAAAACCAATTCAAATAGGTCGTGTATAACCTACTTTAAGTAGTTACCCCCTGGCCTCTATATCACGCAACACCAATGCTCTCTCTGTTTCCGGCATTTCAAGAAAAATTCAACTGCATTGCAATAAATGAAATTTTCAACCAATAGTTGAGACATTTTTCAAAAGTACCACTGTTGAAATTCTTGTCATATGCTGAACTCATTGAAACAGTTAAGTAGTTTGTAATCCTCTTTTTATTACACAATGAAATCATTTATTTTGATATAATCATTAATTATTATTTCTGTCTTTATGTATTAAGTATTCAGCCAGTGTTACTCTTCATCCAAATAACTAATTTTTCCTAATGATAAATAACTTGAATTCTCCACACTTCCACCATTTGATACTGGTGGAGCAGGGAAACTCTTCTTGTATATGGCTTCGATATCGATACCATCTACTTATTTATATATTTATGGGAGTGAGCCACTAATGAAAGTGATGTTTCAAAAATCTATAGTCCATAACTAGACAACTTTAGAAGGCACAGGGTGTATTAATACAATCTTGTATTTATTGTAGTTCATCAATAAACCACTTTTGAATAGTTTAATATATTCAGTGGAATTCCGATTTTAAATCTGATACTTTATTTATTGTAATATTATTTATGAGTACATCGGGCTGTAATAACTGCTGTCTTCTTGTCATCCTGTAGTCTTAAGTCAAAAAAAGAGAATCAATTGATCGCCTGATATTATTTTCATTAGTGACCTTTGTTGTACTTACTATATCAAAATAATAATCTACATAATCTTTGAACTAGACAAAATGAGGCTATGCACATATCATGATTTTTATGTCATTTTCTTTACAAACATTTATAGTCCCTTGTAAGTAACAAGTCTTTAATCATTCTTATCTTTACAATGATCAAAGTGCGATTATTAAGATATTTCACAAAATACATTTTTTGGTCTTGTTTCAATAAATAACCTGGTATTTGAAAAATGTACTATTATAATTCTGCAAAACATATGAACAGTCTTTCCAGCTTTCTGTAGGCCGATAAATTATCTGATCATGAAAAATTAGCATAACCTTTGAATAGTAACAAAGAGAAACTGCATATCACACCGCAAACAAATGCTGCTCAGCATAAGAAGTAGTAATAATTTATGCGTTAAATTCGACTGTAGGCGTAAGCTGAAATGATTTTTTTTTTAGAAATTTCTATGCGTTGTGAATTAGCAATAACAGAGGAAAATTTGTTCTCAGTTGTATAATCTTAACTGTTATCCTACAGGTTTACTGAGTCCTCAATCCTCTTTATATGGTTGTCCTTTCTTTCACACACATTTTGATTTATTAGCGCTTCATTGCATTCACTTTGCCTACCTTTATGTACATGAACCTGAGTGGCTTCACTTTTGTACAAGGTTTTGTGTTGATAATTCAGTTCAGATCAGTTCAGTTCACATGAGTCTCTTCCAAGTTGCTAGAAGAAGAAATATCAAGTCCTATATTGAAGTAATGAAATTTCTTCAGAAATGCTTCTCCACAGCTTAAAAGATGACTTGTCACTTGTTTAATTACATTTCTTTCAGTCAATTACGTTGAGACTGGATAAACTGAAGATAGAGATTTTCCGATTACCGTATACACTTTTATGAGATGGATGAAAATGCATTCAGTTTTAGAAGAACTAAGATTTATGATTTTATGTCTTATTCCTGACTATGTGTTCAAATAACGTACTAGCAGTACATATCTACTTGCTTACTAATCACATTTGACTTATTATATAGTGTTTTTCTTTGTTTATGCTATTTCGAGGGATTTATTATCGAGTATTTCATAACATTTAGGGCAAATGCATAATTCACTAACATGATTTTTACGCATCTGAGCAACAAACAAATTTACTTAGAGATTTTCATGACGATGTGACTCTTTGGCTTAATCACTCAACTTTCACCTGGTGATTTCTGAATTCAATAGCTGACCTACCTACTTCCTACTGGGTAACTTGATTAAGTATCACCAGTCTCCACACAATAAATGTAGTACATGAAATATCTGTCTCTGGTCATTTCATTCAGAGAAAGTTCACCGCAAAAAATGTGAAACTTAGTGAATTATAGCTCTTTTTATTTACCTTATCAAAATGTATTAGTTGACACAAAATTTAAGTGTATGGTTTATTGCAAATTGTCTTTAGTACTTTAGTTTGTATGGTTCGACATGTGATACACATTTAAACAATTCACATTGAACTTAATAGAATATATCATGTACTTTAAGAATGTTATGACCTACGCTACCGACAAAACTAGAATAGCTAAAGTGATTTTTATTAAACAAATAAGTCACTGTCATAATCTCATAATCAAAGTTTTTCAGTAAGGTTAGACACTCGTAGTTGGAAGAGTTATTAACAAAAAATTCAACAGAATCCTGGCTTACTACATATTTAATCATAAATTAATCACCCGATTGTCATTCGATGGATGCCAATATCATAAGTTCTCCTATATTTCAACCACTTCTTATTTACTTAGTAGACGGTGACTAGTAGTGGAACCCAGGATGCCGATTTCATCCTATTCGGTAGTCGTTAGATGGGTGTACCTGTAGTCTCCAGTAAGTGAGGCAACTCCAACTGAGATTCGAACTCCACACCCACCGTTTCAAACGTCAAGGCGTTGTTCACTAGACCACTTGGACCAGGTACATCCAGATGGCTACTACTACATAGGAGGAAATGCACCTCCAGGATTGGATTGTTAGGCACCATCCACCGAATAACAACATGCCAATCCTCAGACATCATCGAAGCGTCCCTAGCAAATATCGAGGATTTCAATCCGATTAATCACCAGAACAAAGGCAAAATTAACTTAAACACTTCATATTTATTTGTCTTTTTCAGGTCCCAATACTTATCTATAATGGAGATATTGATATGGTTTGTAATTTCATTGGAGATGAATGGTTTGTAGATGACTTAAAACTCAAGGTAAGTTTTTAACAGGTAATTTATTACCGTTTCAAGATGAATGGGTGTCTTTATTCTATTCTAACAAATGCCGACATAAACAATTATGCACCAAGTGTCAAAATAAATGACAGTTATTTATTTACTAGTTCATAAGTGATATAATTTGAAGGAAAATATTAGTTCATCATTTAGTTTGTTGAACTACTCCAGTTCAATGTTTATAACTTATCCAATCTAACTGTAATGTCTAAGGTTCTCAACATCCCTCACGTACGTATTGATCAAAAGTTTATTTATTTTCCACATAAAGCCGTCAGACTTTAAGCATTTCTTTGTGTTTGGAGGGAGATAATATTACTGCACTTACAATCTGTCATAATCTCAATTTCTGGAATGATGAATATGTCCATCTTCTTAATGACTTTCATGGGTTAACATCTAATTTTATCACGCTTAGGTTGCCTCATTTTCAGTATGAGTATATACGACTGGATTGTAGAGCTTTATGTGTGGATTTCAGGGTAACATAAGATGCTCTATCGACTCGGTAAATCCTCACTCATCTACAACTACTTTGTTCCAACAAATCAGGCATATCAGTCAACATCTTCATTCTAATAACAAACGTTTGTGTCATGAAGATTTACAAGCTCTCAGAGCAGTTTATGCGTACAGGTGTTATGGAGTTTATTAACAAGTGTCATGAAATTTTCCCAGTAGCCTGAATTCCTTATGGCAAAATAAGATTGAAGAGAAACTTCGTCGGAAACTAAGTTAAACGTAGACATTATCATTATAATCGTTTTTCTGTTACATTTTAATACCAATATCAATCCAAGGGACTCTGTCATTAACTGCTCGAATGTATATTAGGTACTTCTGTTCACACATGTGTGTTGAAAACATTAGGAGCACACTTTAAAGTTGTACGAAATCTTTAGTTTACACTACAGGTGAAGGAAGATCAAAATCAATATCGTTGAAAACAGTATTCACTTGTTATGGACCACAATCATTTCATTGGTATCAAGCAAGTGTTGAAGCCTGTGTCAATATAAGTCTCTAGTTATTAATGACAATAATGAGGCCTTTTATGTATCTTGTATTGTATGCATTCACGTGAAACATATTCAGTCCATAATCTTTTAAATTTTATTGCTAAACCCAATATGCATTTTAGCCGCATGATCATCGACAAAGTTGGATTTACTTATCTGAAGGCGGTAGAAATCTAGTCGGAGGATATTGGAAGTCGTTTGTAGGGAACAATGTCAAGTTTACCTTTGCAACAGTGAGAGGAGCTGGTCATATGGTACCTACGGATAGGCCTGATGCCATGTATCATTTGATTTTATCTTTCGTCAAAAACCAGTCTCTTTAATGACAATTCTATCTTTTGACGGTATTTCACAAATTCAGACTACGTGTTCTTCTCTTCTTTTGTATTCAGACAATGATGAGTGATTATTTCTGATAATACAGTAGTCCTTAATATTGAATTCCATGTAATCATGTATTAGTCACTGGGACTATTTTGCTAAAGATTACCTTTCTTGCAAAAAATAAATGAGATTTTTAATGATTTTGTCTGTTGGTTTTGATAGATTTGTTTTTCAATTTTTCATTGAAGTGGTGTAATATTACGTCTTCAGACACCGGATATCGTTAGTTTCAAGAATTTACGTCTTCAGGGTGTCGATTAGCATGAAATGTAAGTTAAATCTCATCCTCGTAGTGTATGCTTGAAAAAAAATTGTCAACCAGATTTGCACAATTTCACAATCTTTTAATTTACCCTCGCTCACTTGAATAATGTTCTTAAATTCAAATTTCACATGTTTTCCAATGTCGCAGCAGAGATGTGGTTCGTTTTCTCAGAAAAATATTGAATACCCCCATTTTAAAAATTAAATTAAGACATAAAAAGAAAACATTTTACCTTCAGTTAGACTTTGCTCAGGCTTTATTCTCATATAAATAGTCTTAGTGTTATTAAAAGATGGAGTTTGTCGGAAAAATGTCATGTATTTGACCAATACAATTCGGACATTGGCTTTTGTGAGGATGACAAATGAAATTATGAGGGATCTAGAAATAAGGAGGAAAATGGTTGTTATGCCTATTTATGATACAATCAGGTAAGGATGAGCGATGCAGGTAACAGTACTGTTTTTGTACACACAGAAGGGGGAAGTAGTTTTACCGGTAACTATCCCGCATTACCGTGGTATACGCAATGGTCAAATTTTTCCAGACCGTTAAATCTGAACATGATTTCAGTATATAAATATACATATATAATCCAGTGGATCATGTTGTGGTGAGAACTGGCTGCAAGCCAAATTCGTAGACAGCAATTTACGTCAGTGTTACTTCTCTTATCGGGTTCATGACAAAAAACAATAACAAAGCATAACCTTGAGGAACTCATCAGGCAATCACAGCAGACTTAACGTGTGCAGATACGATTCAGAAATATATGGCTTAACTTTCTAAGAAACGGTCACAAGCAGCACAGAATAAACTTCAGCAAGAAAACAACCAATCAGAAGACTTTGCTTCTCCGCTGACAATAATGTACATAAAAATCTATAAAATTCTGTTGACTTTCTCAAAAAACAATCTGTTGCCTGGCCCTTGTCTTCTGACGTTACAATGTGTAAGTGTTAAATTTCGTAATGTAGCAGTGACAATGACGATAATATTAATAACGATAACGTCAGTGGTAATAGTCTGGGTATTTGACGCAGGTGGTGATAAGAATAATGAAGGCAATATGATAATGTGAGCATTTGAATAATAAAATTCCATAAGGATCAAAGATAGTTGGAAGTTACACAATACTAAATATGAGAGTAGATAATCAGGGTTTATTAAATATAGTAAATGTATGGAAGGGATGAGAAGTTCGAGTTATTTTATTAAAATATATTTAGGGCATAGGAAAAAGACAATAGTAGAACAAATTTCTTTTGAATGCAAAACTGAGGTTATTTCTCTAGATTTTCATAGCTTCGCTCGTGTAGGAGACGAGTTCGAATTCCGTTCGTAGGATAAAATGGAATGGGATGAATGCTCCTCGTTTTGCAAAAAAATAAGATAAGTGATGACTTTTCTATTAGTTTCGATAGTTTGTTCAGCTTTATTACAAACTGGTGTAATACCAGACATTCAGATTTTAGAAGTATAGAGAAATGCAACCTTCCGGATATCAAGTAACAAGTTAAATCTTATCCTCACAGTGTATCCCAGAATAGAATTATTGAAACAGCACCACACAGTTTTCCACTCTTTCAATTTAATTGCTTTCATTTGATAGAGAGATCGCGTCATTAATCTAAAGACCGAGGTTTTCTCAAAAGTGTGATGCATTTGCGCAGTACATTTAGAACGTCTAGTTTTCAATTCATTTGGTATGAAAAAGGAAAAGATGAAATGCCAGATAAAGTATGCAAAATAATTAGGCATTTTGAAGCAAGAAGGATAGTAATTGACGATAATAATAATATCATTATTTTTCTATGTATTATTCGTCTCTCTGATTCCCAGTAGAACATAGAGCTTCAGAAGTATATCTCAATTTCAGTATAATCCTCGCAGATTTTTGTAGATAGCTTCATGATTACCCACAAGCCCTCATTTTCTCTTTATATGATTACACCTATGTCACCCTAGAAAGTTCAACCTGTTGCCTCCCATTCAGGTTCCACCTTGCAGTCTGATGTGCGATGTCACTCGATGGTCTTCTCAAAATACATCCAATCCATTTCCCCCTCCTTATTTGTTGGATAATAGATGGGTTGTTGGTTGGTTCCTTGCCAGAAATCCACGATGCTTATCCTCTCTGGTTGGTCATCTGTTCTTCAGTATCGGGTGGAAACACTTTTTGATTAAATTCTGCAGTAGTCTTTTTAAAATGCTTTCGGTGATGTATGCGCCAAGTCTGTAGAGAATTCGGATGTCATTCCTTATATTGAGTGGTGCAAACTTCCACAGTGACTTCAGAGCATTGAACGCCTGTCATGATCATCTGATCTCGGCTGGCTTTGATATCGTCGTCAGTATCACATGTAGCTGAAACAATGCTACTGATGAAATAGTAAGCTGTGAGTTCCTCCTATCGATAGTGACTTTTGTTTTTTTGGTTGGATATCTTGATCACTGCTGTTTTCTCAGCTTTCAGAAACTTTTATGGCCTTCAAGACTTCTGATTTTGTAGAGGGGTGGGTATTCACTGGCACTTCTATATCTTCTGGTGATATTTCTCAACGAGTTGTAGATAGTAAACGATTCAAGAGTCGTTTGAAGTGATCAACATAGCATCTCCTTCGTTTCACCTCTTTGGCAACTGTCTTTCTTCATTATCTTTCATTAATTTCGTCTGTGCTGATCTCTTAGCAGACAGAAACCTGGTTATTTGATGTAGTCTTTTGAGGTCTCTGTTCTCTGCAGCCTGTTCTGCTTAAATTGCCAGTTTGTCGTAAAAGTGCATTTTGTCGTTCCTATCACTCATCTTCACTCTTGTGTTCATTGCTCTGTAGGTTTAACCCAGCTTCTCCTTTCATTCTTTATCTTTGTTTTGGTTCATCCACTTCTTCATTATCACTCTGTCCTCTATCAGACTCCAAGGTGTCCAGAGGTAGCCGTTCCTTGCCTAGCTCCTTCTGACCTCTGAGGTCTATACAGATTTCCTTCCATTTCGCTTTTAGCATTTCCACTTCTCTCTCACGTAGATTCCCTCAGTAAAGTTGTTTTATGTCTCCAGCTTTTTTTCCAGATGACTGTAGTAAAGGTTTCTATTTGTAGCGTAATCTTTCAGGTTCTGGGTGTTGAACTTCAGTTGTGGTCTGTCTTCAGCTTCCTTAAGTGCATTCGACTTGGTTCTGAAGATTTCCTGCATTAGACAGTAGTCTGAGCTATTATTTGCTCCCCTTCTTGACTTTGTATCTGTCTCCATTTTCTCAAAATTGAGATGACGTTTATCTGATTTCTCCTGTGTCCACCTGGTGAAATCCAAGTCGCTTTGTGCGTATGCTTGTGGCTGTAGGTACTACTTTCAATCACCAAATCATTAAATTTGCCAAGATTTCTGCGTTATCATTCATTCCACCGGGCGCTTCTCGATCCATCATGAATCCTCTTCTAGTGCTGTCTGATCCCACTGTGGCCTGCATTCATATTACCCATTAGAATTTTGATGCCGTCATCTGAATTGGGTATTGTTCATTACTGTTTGCAGTTTTGTCTGGAAACCCTCCTTCGTTTCTCTTTGTCTTCGTTGTTTTTGGGTGTGCACTTTACAACTGTAAGTTTCCCACCTTTTGAATTAAATCTTCATGTCATGATCACGGGAGAGATTAGTTCCCAGTACATGAGAGGATTCGATGTTGTTGGTGATACCATGAGATAAACTCCATCAGTGTGTATGTGGTTAACAATGGCGTGACCGGAGTGAATTATTGACTCTGTAGGTAGAAATTTGGAGAGTCAGCTTTCAATCCATTTGCTGACACAGATTTCCAACACTTATATTTTGTAAAAACGTTGAACTTGATATAGGAGAGACGCCGAGCTGGATACAAACGTGATGATCACGACAAATCGCCAGACTACACGAACAATCTGCATCACAACTGCCTGTTTCCCCAACCCGCTCTACTTAAGCCCACAACAAAGTGTGCCGAAAAGTGTAATATTTAAAGAACGAAACAATGATATATTTACATATACATATACATGACCGATGACGTAGGCGTGAGAAAGATCAATCTATGAAGAATATATCCAAATATCACATATATTCTCATTTCTTCTGCAATATGAGCAATTCTGTGAAATCCAAAACATGATGAAGATATTCTATGCCCCTATACTTACTTTCACTTTCACGGAAAGAAGATAAGAATTACCTGCGAAGGTTATGGGTAGCAATAAATTGTTATTGTACAACGTCTTGGCATAGTTTCATACTTTATACTTAATTAACACCATACACCCAATGCATCAACAACAAAATTCAGATTTTCAATACAAACGTCAAGTCAGTTTTGCTATACGGATCAGAAACTTGGCGGGTCACAAAGAATATTTCCAGCAGCCTGTTGCAGACATTTATCAACAACCGTCTTCGTTCTAAACTGAAGATCAGATGGCCGGAAAGAATCACAAACAAGAAGCTATGGCAACAAACAAAACAAGAACCAATCGCTCAACAAATGTGCAGGAGAAAGTGGAGATGGATTGGACACTCGCTGAGGAGGCCGTTGGGTGACATTGCGCGTCAGGCCATAGCTCTAGTGGAACCCGAAAGGGAAGCGCCGAGTGGGACGTCGAAGGGTGACATGGAGGAGATCGTGTGAAGAGGAAGTGAAACAGTATGGATTAACATGGATGCAAGTGAAAAGTACAGCAGAAGACAGAAGCAAGTGGAGACGTGCAGTTGAAGCCCTATGTTCCACTAGGAACCCAAGGGAACAATAATATAACAATAATAATAATACACCCAATGTCGAGATCTTTTCAAATTATTGAATCTAAAATTAAGCAGTAATAATGATGAATATCATGATAA